TGTTAAACCCGAAACAACCTTCATTTTGCGATTACTAGCGCAAATATTTTGTCTACCAGATATAAAAAAAAATAACTCCGATAGCGTGTCGTAATCGTTTTTTTCTTCTCCCTCCATGTCAGGTGTCTAACATCTTGATAGATTCTCACATACCACGTGGTACACGCATTAAACACAAATAGGTATGTTAAACCAGATTATATTGAGTAAAACATTCAACAACAATATCCACTATTTATCCACGGTTTATCATTTTAATTTCTCATATCAGACGATTTTGCAAAAAAAAAAAATGCGCGTATTTACTATATATCTTCCCCCACGAGATAGACAGCAATGGTACTAACAGAAGTAACTGACGTACTGAGTAAGAACACTTGCTGTAATGATATGGCGAGACACAGTATTAGTGTTAGACTGAGCTAACAATGTCCAGGAATGCGTGCACGCCGAAATTGAGCTGCATCCTTTCTCAATGTCAGCATGACCCAAGAAAGTATCATATTTGCCTGAACAGTGTCACGTGGCATCGGAGACAGGATATGACACGGCAGGGGGCACTCGAGGAGATAGTGAATACGCAGGTGCGAGGTAATAGGTACAAAAGAATCTACCGTTGCCTTGTATACAGTTCCTTGTTTGTATTTTGTTTTGTTTTTCTGAATGAATAAAATAAAATATTATGTGATTGTATACAGATCTTTCTTGTTTCGCCATCTATCGATTCACTTTCATTTTATTGAAAAAAACAACACCTTAAAACAAACAAGAGGCTGTCTGTTTGCAAGTCTGGGCCTACCAAAAAACAAAACAAACTGGATAATGTTGAATTATTTAAGACAATTTATTAAACCATGACAATTTTTTAAAAAAACAGATTACCGGTTTAATTTTGTTAACTTTAGATCACCATGCTGCAGTTAAAAAAACGTTAGAATGTTTTAAGACACAATATTTGCCTCGCTAACTATGACGGAGCCATAGTAGAAGACAAATAATATTCTGTATAAAAAGCCGAGTGGACAGTGTACTTTTTTACACAACACAATATGAGTCACAATGGTAATTGTATGAACAACAATTATAACATAGATGTATTCTATTCCTTTGTTCAATAGCTCGGTAATTGTTGGAAGAAGCCGTGTCCTAAGCCGTCGCTCTGATTTTTGTCAAACTTTTCACTTCAACTCGAATCATGTACGTTGTATAACCTTTGACCTAATGTGAATGTATATGTGATCGTGGAATCTGTACTATACAGGTGAGGTGGGCTTCAGTTACGTTTTAAGTGCACATTTGTATATTTAGGTCTCAATCCTCTCCATTGAATAAAAATGCCTTAAAATTCAAATGAATTCAAATCATTAGGTTTTACAAAGTGTGAATTCCAGTTGTTAGTTGTTACTTACAGCCTGTATTTTACTTTAAAGTCACACTTGTCACAATTTAAACATTTATTGTAGTATATATATATATATATATATATTGTATTTCATAATGTTGATCAAGATCTGCAACGAATGGTATATTCTGTCTGTTTGATTCAAAATGCAAAAGGAAACCAATTGACATAGCTCGAGCCATTCCATTAGACAATCTTGAAACGTGTCATGTGAAATTTCGACCAACATTTATATATTTTTAGTTTTTTTTTCTCATAAATTATGGTTATAGATGTATTTGAATGTCGGCCAGTGTTAGTACGTTTTTATCTTTGGTTGATTTTCTCAAGTTGACTCGCCAACTTTGATTTCAAAAGGAACGGATTTGCTCAAAATATTGGTGTAAAATATGTCACGTTTTTCTAAGACAAATGAAGGTAAAATGTGGTTTATAACCAAGATTAGTTGAAGCAAATCTAAAACAGTTAAGATAAATGGTTAAATAGGCTTGAATATCACCAATAACGTATTTTTTTATGTAATGATCACGTGATCACAATGATTTGTGTGGTAAACTATCATGAATACATTCACATTTCAATCACCTCCAGCGCACACATGCTGTAACACCGTTACTATAGTGCCCACATTTCAATACCACTAATTAGGAATATTTCCACTCATTTCAGTGACTCAGTAAAGCTACGTAAATAATAAAGTGTTTTCAAGCTCAAGAATGAATGTCCACTGACCCGGAAAAGTTCTATCACGTACTACGTAGTTGTGATTACGACGACAACAAACAAGGCGTGGACTGAAGATGGCGTGATATTGATAACATGTTAGAACATGGCTTTTTTTTACGTCCGAACATTCATCACGCGTGGTACAATGTTTTGATCGGATTACTGTACTTTGACACAATTAGTTTTCTGAACTGCTTTTTTTTCATGAACACTATCCAACTATCCCAATTAGAACCAACGGAAACAAAAATTAAAATTCACTCACACCAATAATACGGAGCATACGTTCGACGTAGATGACGCTGTTGATACGACGAGGGACCAGTAGAAAACAATTTTTGTAAAGGTGTTTTTATTGTTCACATGTACTTTACATAAATTTGTATGTATGTATCTTTTTTAGTCTAGTTCCCGAGTATTAGGCTCGGGGGTTAAATACAAATTCACAATTACAATTACAACTATCGTGGCTAATTTTTAAAATAATAATCAACACTTATAGTTCAGGAGAACGGACCGGACCTGGAATTGGGTGATCAGCATGAGCTAAGGCTTGACTGAATAACACAGTAAAATTGCCCTTCTAAAACACCCCCATGTAGTATATCGTCCGCCATTAGGACAGACTATGTCTTACACTTTGACCTGCGAGTGAAGACTCTATCTGTTCACCTCCATCTTTCGGGATTTCGAGACATATTTTGTTTGCTCGATCATATGAACTCATATTTGCTGGTTTTGTGAATTTAAATGCGGTCAAAAGTATGCGTTGTCTTCTTGAAGTTCTGACATATAAGGAATGAACATGCCTTTGCCAGTGAAATAGACCATGTACTAAATAAATGTACAGCAACATGGGGTGGATAGGCCAGTGTTTATGCTAATACACAAACAAGGGGCGGCCCCTAAACGTGTTTAAGATATATTCATATATTTCCCACTATAGAAAATTATAACACTTTTGCAGACATATTTTAAAAATTAATTTTTTACGTTTTGTAGTCTATGAGATATTATATTCATTTATTTGCGTCCAGGCACATATTATACTTTTACAATTTGTATTTTAATAATTCTGTGAAAACAATGCACGATTTTGAATACTTGTCCACATAAAAGTGCCTTTAGTTGCTATGTGATTACATATAGTGAGAATAACACAAATCCGTCTTTTTTGATAATGTATAAAACAAATCAAACCATCACAACAATCCACCAACAAAAAAAAGCGATATCTCAAAAATTAAACTTCTGTGAATTGTACATCTAGGCCCCCGTTATGTGATAAATCACATAATATATAATTTTTTTAATAATAATAATAATTAGGAATAATCTATACATGAATATCAATTAATTATGATAAGTTTTTTATGCTACATATGCAAATTAGGCATGGACCATCCACACTTTTCAAATGTAAACATCGTTTTTTTTTTCTTTGGAGGACACCATAGACTACTTGACCCGAATATTGATCTTATACCTCGGGTTGACCTTTAGATTTTTTTATTATTGAAATGTATTGCTTTAGCATAGCGAGACAACTCAAAAGACACGTGAAACTTGGACCAGTATTGCTCAAGTTATTCGTATTAATTGTA